GGTTGTACGGTAATTATGGCCACAGTTGCAGTGAGAGCCCGTAGTCCCAAACCCAAATCCCGAAACCCCCAAACCCCCAAACCCCCAAAGCCGTAGCCTAAACTCCATCTATGCTGGCCGCCCTCGGCTCACTGCACAGTCCTCCCGCACAGAGCAACTAGCCAAGCTACGCGCTCTGTGCGCCTGGAAGTGGCCGGCCACGTGGACTCTTCAGAACCGGAATGCTGACCTATACCTATATGCACAGATGGACATAGATATGTATACTCTATGTCACTATGTCTTTTACGTATATATATATATACATACACATACACACGCGTGCGCATACATGTAGGTGTATATATTCTGACTCTTCTGATTTCGGGGCGTTGAGTCAAAATCTGGTGCAGCCCGTTGGCATGCAGTAATTAATGGATGAAACCAAGTGGGCTGTCCTCAGACGGGAAATTGCCAAGCACCCAAACTTGCGGGGTTGTAAGGTCTTAAGGGGTTTAGGGCCTAATGGGCTTTTGAAGATTTTTTTAAATTGGGGGTCGCTACGTTGGCCGTGGCCGCAACAACTAAATATGACATGTAAGGAGCGGCCGTGCAAAAGGTGCTGTGTTGAGGGGAGTTGACAGTCTTGAGCCTTCGCTGGCATCTGCGGTGTCTCAGTTTCGACATAGGTTGGGAACATATCCTTGGCAAATGCATTTGTTGACGAACTTTCGTCTTGCAGAGCAGGCACCAAGCTTTGAGAATAGAGGCAGTGCTCTACATGTCGTTGCCTTTACCGCTGGATTACTTCCACTTGCGAAGTCCTCCTCTTTCTTGCCGTTTCGAGGGCTACATGCATACACTCGGCGAGAGCATGGATCAGTAACATTCCCATGTTCAATTTCTGATTAAGTCAGTATATACTTCAGTTACTTCAGAAAAGAGACCCGTTGGATGCTCATGGGTGGACTAGGTGACTAGGGTCCACAAGGCTGTGCCGTCCTACCGGGCTCTTTCTTGCGTCAAACTGTGCCTGACGAATAGGTGATGTCGTCCATAGTCATGGTTTTTATTTTTTGCAACTGTCATGTCGGGATCCCATTAACGATTGTTTTGTGTCGGACTCATACAACCAACCAATGCAACATGATTGAGGCTACCATGTCATCATGTTAATCTTCCATGCATTGAATGACCGTTCAGTTTTTCATGCCGAATTTGCACTCTTCCGGTTTTTTCGTTTCGACGGTCATCACTTCCTCTAGGTCTCCACTTCAGCTTGTTGACATCTACATTGTTTTCTGATAAGTGCTTCTCAAGTCGTTTCTTACGGAAGCTGTTCAATGATGATCTTTGCTTCTTTTCAGCATAACTGGGATCGTCTTCGCTCTTGTGAGTACTCGCGTCTGTGCAGTACCAGTTTCCCCTTCAGCTTTCAGGGAAGCGTTCTCGGTAACAGCGCAAATTGGTCCAGATGAGTTAAGATGGGTTCGAAGAGGCCTTTGGAGAGTTTTCGGGCCCAAAGCCCTAAGCCCGAAATTTTCCAAAGGTCTGGAGGGTCTGGTGTAAAAGGCTTGGGAGATGGGTTTAGGAGTTTAGAGTTTAGGGTTTAGGGTTTAGGGATCAAGGCTCGGGGCTGACAATGGCGACATTGCGAGAGACTCTGCTCTTGAGCCTCAAGGAAGAAACTCGGAGGTTTCAGCCAAGTTTTGTTGAGGGTTCAGGGGGCAGGATTTTAGGGTTTAGGCTTCGGCAAGTTTAGTTTGAGGGTGGATGGTAGCTCTCTTCGCCTGTTGTTATCGGCTTTTTGTCTTGGGATTGAGGCTAGGGCCTTCTCTTGAGACTTCGTTAGGTTTGAGGTTGCCCAGCGGAGCAACCCTCAGGAATCGTGACGGGACACAGCTATTTCTGTGCTTTCTCCGTGATAAATCGCTGGTTCGGTTCTGTGATGTCTCTGTGCTTTTGCAAATGTTCGCTCTAGGCAAAGGCTCTAGTCTCTTTCGGGCGGTTTGCGCCTCTTTCTTGCTCCTGCCCGTTTCGGGACGGAACGAGCGTGAATCAATGTACTGGGAGTAGTCGCCAGCATTTAGCTATTCTGGTGTGTGACATTTCCTGCGTGTTCGTGGGACCATCGTGCTGCCGGGCATATGACATGACTTATTCAGCTTTGATTTGATTGTCATTCCACCGTTTGTTGGGTGTGATTCCGCTGTGGTTTGGGAGTGCTCGTCCCCAGCAGCATGAAGTCAAGTCGAAGTTGGGGCCTAGAGCACGGGGGCGTGCAGCCAGAACACTAAACCTTAAACCATCAACCCTAAACCCTAAACCCCTAAACCCTACACCCTAAAGCCCTAAACCCCAAAACCCTAAACCCCTAAACTGTAAACCCCGAACTACAGCCAACCCGAAACAAAAGGGTCCAGGCCTGCATCCTGAGCCCAGCCCTGAACACATGCACGGACTCTTCACTGCCAAACTCGCATCAAAGTGACAGAGTTTAGGTTTAGGGTGTAGGGTGTAGGGTTTAGGGGTTTGGGGTTTGGGTATAGGGTTTATGGGTTTAGGTGTTTAGGGTTTAGGGGTTTAGGTGTTTAGGGTTGGAGGCAGCGGTCTCAACGGCAGTTCGGGTTCCTCCTCGGGCCCGGCTTGCCTAATTTCAGCACCTGCTCAAGAGACCAGGAAGCCGCCATTGCCGAGTCGAAGGAAATCGACGACCCCAGCTACTACGGGCACATCCGGGATGACGCCGAAACCTGCTGGATTTCCTTCCCGGGGAAGTATGCAGCAGGCCGGAAGAGCCCGGTTTTGGGGCTTGGGTTCGCAGGGTGCAAGACATCGGTTCCTGGGGTGTAGCGGCATGATGAGGTTTCAAACTGTATCCGAGATTGAAGCTCCGAAATCCGCATTGCAAGAGAATCCAGGGACGGCCCACATGCGAAGTCGTGCAACACCTTTGGTTACGAACTGCACCGTCCCCGAAGCCCTTGCAAGCCCTGTATCCCACGTTCTTGAACCGAGCCAAGAGCTTTAAAGCCTTCCGCCGCAGAGGCTGGGACGCTCTGGTGAAGGAGCTCGTGCTTCAGACGGTGTTAAGCGTGGTTCACGGGTTCTGCTGAAACCGGACAAAGGCGCAAAGTCATAAGGGTTTAGGGTTTAGGGTTGGGCAGGTTGCGCAGGGTTTCAACTTATTCAGTGGTGGGCTTCTCCCCACCCTAATCCCCAAGCCCTAAACCCTAATCCCCAAACCCTAAACCTTAACCCCAAACCCTAATCCCCAAACCCTACCCTAAACCCTAATCCCTAAACCCCAACCATAAACCCCAAGCCCTAAATCTTTAAACCCCGAATCTTAAACCCTAATCCCCAATCCCTGGCCCAAACCCTAAACTGTGATCCCCAAACCCTAAACCTTAAACCTAATCCCTAATCCCTCGACCTTAAACCCTATTTTTCAATCCCGAAACCCTAAACCTAATCCCGCGCCAAAGCCCGAAACCAAAGTCCTCAACGCCCTCGGTCGAACTTGCTGCAAGGGCCGACCTCAAGTTCGGGTTTACCCAAAAAATATGTGTGTATGTATAATATAAGATTAACTTCAATGTTCAAAGACTACGTAGTATCCCCTTGTTTTATAGGGTTTAGGGTTTTAGGGCCCTCTTCATGTATAGTATAAAGTACCCCCAATATTCTAAGTATCATTGAAAAGTTGTGGAGTTCCGGATGACGTCAGGCACAACAGTCTTTTTGAATTCCTTGCCTTTGTTGTGCTTGGAGGCACTGAGGGAGCGTATTCCATGCGTGTGCCGTAGCAGTAACCTAACTGCAGGGCTGCTAAGCATGATTGCAAACTGACAATGTCGGTAGAAGTGTAGAGAAGCCATGACTAGATCTGAATCGCCCGCCCCTCCCAGACACGAACCCTAAACCCTAACACCCAACCGCTAAATCCTGCACCCTGAACCTTACCAATGCCTTAAGCTCTCAAACCATGAGCCCAGACATACGAAGCGCGAACTCCGAAGCAGGAGAGCCTGACGAAATCCGGCTAGATCCTGAACTCGAAATCTTGCGGGAATCTTTCCTTAGGCATCCATCCTGAAATCTTCGTCTTCTTGAATTACGGTCCCTGTACGGTAGAATATACGCCAAATCCCCTACTCATCCTTACTCTCATTGTCTGAAATCATTTCCGGCATAAGCAGTTTCATCTTGACTTGGTGGCCTCCAAAACCCTATTCTCATTCTGAAAGTCCCTACATCAGATCCTTTCCGGCAGGAGTTTCACCTCGACTCGGTGGCTTGTGTCTTCCTCTGCTCCCCAGCGGACGGCACCGACCTCAGGTCAGGTCCACGGAGTAGAAGGCTCAAGCGTACTGTAGAAGCCGGAATGATTACCAATATTTTTTCCCCTAACTTTCCTTATTAAACATATTCAAAAAAAAGCACCAAAAACCCGATGCCATTTTTGAAGGCCCCTATATTCTTCTGCAAAGCAACAGTCTCTGAACTGTAATGTCAGCAGTCGAGTGCACAAATGCATGAGTGCCATGTGAACTGAAACGCGCAACGGCACGAACAAATGGGCAGCCATTTATCCATGCACCCGTGCGTCCATCCATCCATACATGCCTGCTTACCTAGACACATATACTGATATACAGTTTACAGACGTTGCGTGTGCTACATGCACTACATGCCTGCCTACCTACCTGCCTGCCTGCCTGCCTGCCTGACTTGCAAGTCTCGAGCAATAACGAGCAAAGCACGGGTTGCCTATGATTGAGCACAGTGCATCACTTCTGAAGCTGCATGGCTTCTACGTTTGCCCAGGTTTCGCATCTCTCAAGTCGTTCTGATCCTGAGGTTTGGGGAAGCACGCTGATGATCACCAGAATCCAGGGAAGTGCTATTGTGCACGGATATATGGCGAACGAGACTTCAGAGCGTTCGGCTACCTTTCAGTCCTCAAGGCACCCTACACGGATGACAGAATCAAGAAGCACTGGGAGAAAGCCGCTGCAATGAATGCGGTCCCGATCCGTCAAGATGTAACCGATGCAGAGAAACAGGAAGCTACGCAGAGAGCTAAAGCACAGTGGGAGAAGATGGGTCGCACAGCCTCCTGGGGATGTGCCTGGTACAAGCGCTGGTTCGACCTGGTATGCGCAGCTGTCGAGAAGAAGCAGCGGCTGAAGGCAGTCTTCTTTCCTGGCCAGGTGGGAGCAGTGCAACACAGCACATGCCACTCCGAATCGTTCTTGACCCTCAGCGGTGCTACCCTATACTGATCCTGTCGCTGCATGCGCTGGACGAAAGTTCGACCCCTCAGCAGAGGGTCTCTCCAGCACCCGGCATTCCACCGTAGACTTGTACTGGTAGCGTGCAGGGAGTGGACGGGCTCGGGGTTAAGAAAGGGTGCCGGAAGGAATGTTGGTCTCGGGAGCCGTAACCGGGGCCCGACTTCGCAGAAGCTTGTTTTTCCTGCTAGTACATGCGGGCATTTCTCCTCCGCGACATTTGCATTGTCGTGTGCTTTTCGACCGTGTTCGCAGCATGTACATGTGAATCGCAGCCTCTCCAGCCAATCACCCGGGCCAGGTGGGTTACGGCATTCCCACCATGGAGGACCTCTCCGACTGCGAGGTGGACCTCTGGGACGGCGAGACACAGCTCCAACTAAAGGGGTGCACATGTTGTGGAGTCTAGGTTTTCGGAATTTGGGGCGCTTTGAGTCCCTTGCGACTATGGTTGAGGCTGTAGTTTTAAATTCCGTTCGAGAGCTCAAGCCTGCCGCTCGTTGATTCAGGGCTTTTCCAGACCTAAAGGTGAAGTAGGGACCCTTCTCCAAGAAGAAGCTGTACTTGCACCAGCTTGGGCTTCAGGGGACCCGTTGTAGAACACTGTCCACTGCCTTCGACACCCCAACGGATCAGCCGAGGTCGGATGTGGTGGCTCGCAGAAATCCGAGCTGGCAACGGCGAACCTCATGCAGAAGCAACATCCCGGATGGGACTATGAGGAGGTGGATGTCACGGCTTTTCTCAAGAATCAGTTCCCGCTGGGTGCCCCAGTGGATGCTCTGCATGAGACCGAAGCTGACTCCAGATGGCGCAGGGGCATCGTGGTAAAACAGATGGAAAAGGTGTCCAAAACCGAGTCCGGCGATGAGTCCACGGAGTTTGTCTGGCAGATCAAGTGTGACGACGACTCTGGAGATACTCGGAGGCTTTTGAAATGTGTTCTGTGTGTGAGGGATGTTTGGGTTGTTGGGCTCGACTAGCGACTCGAAGAACCTTCCGAAAACCACGAAGGACATCTTTGAGACCGGCCACGTCCGACACCTCAACGTGGCGGTTGAGCAGCTGTTGCGCCGTTGGGGTGGCGGCCTAAGATGATGTCTGAATGCTAGGTATGCTAGTTGTTTCAGTGGGCGTGTGGCATACTTCGAGACCTGTCCGGATCGATAGCTCATTTTGGTTGGCAGTCCTGAAAGTCAAGACACCTCCTGGAGCAGATTTATGAGATGGACAGCAGGGTCCTGCCTCATGCTAAGGGGACATCCTGGAGCCTGCTTTGCGCCAATGCCTGGCTGACGTGAAACTGCGCCATCCCACCGCCTGCCGCCTCCGCAGCGGCACCCCGGCGCTGAGCATTGGCATTCAAATCCCGAACGTCGAGTCACTCCTGGCACTGAGAGATCGCGTCTTGAGCGGCGACTTCGATCGGAGCGTCAACGAAGGCCTTGCGCTCGGAGCTCCAGAACCTCTGTAATGTATGGATCCATTTTCCTTTCTTGTGTGTGGGTTCTTCCTCAGAATTTCGATAAGTATAAACACAGGCGGTAAGCAGAAGATACTTGTCATACAGACAGGATGGCCATGATAGCCAGAGCTGAGGAGTTCAAGGTCAAGGGCGACAAGAGCCGGCTCTTCGAGCTTTACGAGGATAGCCTCCTGGGCTTGAAGGAGCTGACCGAGCATCAGCAGGCTGAGCGGGAGCATTCGGGTAGTGTAGAGTGTAGACTCCTGATTAGCAATACCCTGGCTTTATTGACATGATCATGAAAAGCGATATTGCTAATCTCCGAGGAGTCATGCCTTGTTATAACGGGTTTGTGAGACAGAGGATTGCATCGGGTTGAATCTCCATTTCGTGACTCTAGAGAGGGAGCTAGTAGTGGTCAGTTTGCAACAACTGTGAAGCACAATCCAGGTGAAGCTGAAAGAGATGGAGGGCCTCGACGACGTTCATCTCTCTGCCCCAGCGGGTGCGGGAAAGACCTTCGTTGCGGTGCAGCACGTGCTCGAGCATCTCAACAGCCATCCCTCAGCCCGTCTGCTCTACGTCGCTCCCTCCGGAAGCCTTGGCCTTCACTTCATTCGCTGGCTCTCTATGCGACTCGCATCGCGAAACTCGGCGCAGAAACAACGGGCCGCTCCTCAGTGCGAAAGGTGTTTTTGTTGCGCATTTCTTCTGAAAGACTCCAAGACGGCCTAGGAACGCAGCACAGCGAGCCGGGGCTCGTGCAAAGCAGGATCCAGCAGGTGCTCTCTAGAATGACTTTGCTGCACAGCCCCTTCAAACACTTCCAGCTGCCCTCCCTGGACGGTGATCGCATACTCCGACGTGTGGCCGAACCCGGCACAGAAGAGTATGACATGGTTGTCTACGATGAAGGCCATCACGTGTTCTCTCTTCCGCCTGAAGTCGCTTGGCCGTCCGCAGAAATACCCCTGTTGTCTTGGCATGCTCTTGGGATTTCTTGCGTCTCTGCAAGATTGTGCCGGTCAGCCCGTGAAATGCCATCCGGAATGGGTGCCACACTTAGGAGATCAGCTCGACGCTCCTGCCAAGCCTGTCGGCAGGGCGCCGACTGCTTCTGTCAGATGAGTCGCAGTCCGCTTCGGTGAGCCAGACCTTGGGACGGTGTCAAGAACCCTAAGCCCTCAACCCTAAACCCCTGAGACCCTAGACCCTAAACCCTAGACTCTAGATCTTAAGCCCTATACCCTAAAATCCCTATCAAACAGCAACCAATGTTACGTAGCCTTTAGGCTTCTGAGCCGGGGTGAAGACCTGAACCTTAAGCCGTATGGGGAAAGAACGTTGAAAAGTGCTGAGATGCCCCCCACGATCCATGGCCCTACATGCCTCATAGGGCCCATGCCTGATACCTTGGGCTTTCTGTAGCCAAGGACCTATCCCGACATGGCCAGGGTGAAGCTTTCCGAGGTGGTCCGCAGCACTAA